CTTCACTAGCCAGATAAGAATTACCCGAGCCCTTATCCTGGTGAGTGTGAGCTGTCCCTCTTCAATACCATGCCTGCCCATGAATCTCAAGGCATGCTTTCTGTCTTGCACACTGGCCTGGTGGCTGCCCTCATGCTCTCTCTGACCCATGCTGAAGACTTCTCCCGGGTCCCCTCTGCTGTCCCTTTGGATTGCCCTGTGCTCACATGGGAGAAACTTCAGGGTGACTGGCTTCTCCCCTCCCTGTAGGGCCTTAAGCAGACTTCCTGATGGCCTCTATGGATGAAGAAACCCCATGGCCTGGTCTATACCTGTCTTTACACCAGAAGTGGATGGCTGCACCATCACAACCCACTGACAGTTCGCCCTGCAGGGTGGTGGAGGGGCAGCCTGCCAGGGAACAAAACTTTCATAGTCTCTGAGGTTGTTTTAGTTGTGGGAAAGGAGAGATGGCTTTAGGATTCATGAAAAGTGGTTAGTAGGTTGTCTGGCTGGTCAGAGTCTTGAAAAGAGCATGACGGGAACCTCGGTGGTGAGGAATGGGCACAGAGCATGAAGTTACTCATGTCCCATGTAAGTGCCCTGTGGAGGGCATGCACTTCAGAGGACCCACCCGTAGGCAGGTAGACAAGGTGACCCATCAAGTAGGTGACAGCCTTCCTGTTTGTACCATCATTCCTGGTTCTTTTTGCAGGGCTGCCACTAACACAGAGTTGGAAGCCACACATGGTTTTCTTTCATGGGGGTTGACCCGTCATGCTGCAGAGCGCTTGACGCACCCTCATTGGAAGCCAGTGCTGAGCCCCTGTGGCTTCACTCTGTGGTTGGAGGTGGGGTGTGAGAATTCAGGCTTGCTTCTGGCATAGGAGACCCGCTGACTGGGGCCTGCCAGAGGCTCCAGAAAACGTTCATCTGCCGCAGACACTTCATGCACCAATGGGTCTGCGTGCTCACGCAGCTCAAATGGCAGGTTGTGTTATCTCTGGCCAGAAGAGAACAGCCACAAAGAGCTTTGCAAGGATGCTGGGACCCTCCTCACCAGTGCATTTCTTCATCACTCAACAGGGACTCGGCCTCCTGACCCCACCAGGTAGTGTTTTGGGTGGGGAGGGGAGCAGACAAGTCATACCTAATCAACCCCCTGAAACATCCTCATCTCCTTGGACCCTTGGGCCCCTTCTCTTACTGTAATACCAACCCACCACCCGTTTCCATCAGTAAAGTTCTACTGGAATATAGCCCTGTCTGTTCATTTACATATTCTATGGCTGGTTCTCAACCCAACGGCAGAGTCGGGTCATCCCACACTGACCTGATGACCTGCGAAGCCTATGATATTTACCACCTGGCCCTTCACAGAAGAGGTTTGCCAACTCGGGCTCTACCATGTGCCAGGGAAGTTCAGGCAAGTCAGCCTTCCTGACTGTGGGCCACTTTTGTGCAGTCCAGGCTTCCATCACCCAGTCCAGGAGATGGTTCACGTGAAGCCATTGTGCTTGAGTCAGTACATTAAAATTGAAATGCCCAATGCACCCACTTGGCCTGACCCAATCTGACCTGTTATCCTTGCTCATTCCAACTTCCCAGACTCTGGATAATACAACTGGCAGCACCTTGCCCCTTCCTGGTTTGTGAACTGTCTCCTCCCAGAGTAAGTCTTGCTCACCTCCACCTGCATGGTCCTGGAGCTACTCTTATTGTTACAGCTCTGCACCCTCACGTTCAGGCCTGAACATGGCCTTTGCCAGCACTGACCACAGATCAGGGGCGCCATGTGAGCACTCTGCTGACTCTGCTTCTGAGGGTCTGCTTCTACTGTTGTTGTTGCTCTTAAATTTCTTGCACCGTAACATCACAACAACCACAAATGAAATAATTCTGAAAATAAAGAAAAATCACCCATTGCTCTACACCCTCCAATTACTTCATTCCAATGTTCACGTGCAAATCCATTTGTTAAAAATGGAATTGTAGGAAAAGATGTGATAAGACTCTATACACCAAATCCTGCTCTTTCATCCAGAAACCGTTGCAAAATCACAGAAGGGGGTGGCCTGGCTAATAGAAAAAATGCCTGGGGTATTTGAGTTCTGTGCACACTTAGGGTGGGGCTTGGTGTTGTGCTGCTGCCATACTTGCTAAATGTGATTTTATGTTGCATTAATAGCCACACAGGCCCAACCAAGGGATGAATGATCCCCTCTCCCTGTGGGGTCTCCCAGGGGGGCTGTGGCTCCTGTGGGGTCTCCCAGGGGGGCTGCGGCTCCTGTGGGGTCTCCCAGGGGGGCTGCGGCTCCTGTGGGGTCTCCCAGGGGGGCTGCGGCTCCTGTGGGGTCTCCCAGGGGGGCTGTGGCTCCTGTGGGGTCTCCCAGGGGGGCTGTGGCTCCTGTGGGGTCTCCCAGGGGGGCTGTGGCTCCTGTGGGGTCTCCCAGGGGGGCTGTGGCTCCTGTGGGGTCTCCCAGGGGGGCTGTGGCTCCTGTGGGGTCTCCCAGGGGGGCTGTGGCTCCTGTGGGGTCTCCCAGGGGGGCTGTGGCTCCTGTGGGGTCTCCCAGGGGGGCTGTGGCTCCTGTGGGGTCTCCCAGGGGGGCTGTGGCTCCTGTGGGGTCTCCCAGGGGGCTGTGGCTCCTGTGGGGTCTCCCAGGGGGGCTGCGGCTGGATTTATCAGTCCATATTAGGTTTTTTTAAAAAGATTATTTATTTGAGAGAGAAAGCAAAGTGAGCTAGAGAGAACATGAGAGGGGAAAAGAGGGAGAAGCAGACTCCCCGCCGAGCAGGGAGCCCGACGCGGGACTCGATCCCAGGGCCCTGAGATCATGAACTGAACTGAAGGCATATGCTTAACCAACTGAGCCACCCAGGCACCCTAGTTTTCTTTTTTTTTAAATAGACTATTTTTAGAGCAGTTTTAGGTTCCCCGCAAAATAGAGAGGAAGGTACAGAGAGGTTCTTCACTTTCCCACTCATGATCTACGTTGATATTCATGACTTAGGTTTATCTTTTCCTGATCTCTCACAGGACAGTCATAAGTGGCCGCCCTCACCCATTGTGGTGTTGGTGACCCCTGCTGCCCTTGTCATTTGTACTTGCCCCTGCCTGCATGGTTCAAATCCAGGGTGGGTCAGAGCCGGGAAATGTTTCTCCGCTGGTGCTGCACACAAATGTGGGCTGACAAATACCACTGTCAGTTTGCTTCCTCGTCCTCATCCTCTGCTCTTCATCTGGCCCCATGCCCCCCCAGGGGACCAGGAGGGTTTTGCTTTCTCCGGAGGAGACCGTGGTACAGAAAACAAAGGTCTGACTGGGGCAGAGGCTTATTCGAGACTTTGATGGTAAAAGTGATGGCTCCTGTTCTTGAAAAAGTGCATGCTTGCAACCTTTATGTGCTTGCACGTACACACATGCACATGCTTGCATACATATGCACATCCACACATGCTCATGTACACACCTTTACATGCACGCACACACATGCATGCACACGCACACATGCACACACCCTCACAGGCACACATGTGCATGCTTGTGTACACACCCTTACGTGCATGTACACACATCTGCACACCTACACACATATGCACACACTTGCACATACTCTTACACACATGCTTACACACATATGCAATGCTCACACACACCCTTATGTGCTTACATGCACACCCCCCCACATGTACATGCTTGTACACATGCACATACTTGCATACACACCCTTACATGCATACAAGCACAAACCTGCACACATATGCACCACTGTTACACACTTGTATGCTTATACACATATGTACATGCATGCACACATTCATGCACACACACTCCAGGGAGGGGATGGGAGTGGGAGACTAACAGAAGCAGGAAGGAAAGAATCATGCTATCAGACACCAGAGGGGTGTCTGAGGGCTTTAGACTTCAGAACTGGAGGAGGAGAAATGGGTTTCTGTGCAAAGAGCTCACTCTTCCCCTGATTAGAGAACAGCTTCTCTAGAGAGGGTCTGGTTTCCTCCAGGATGCAGGCATTTCAAGACACGATAGATGGATAGCATGGCAGTTCCCAGTTTGTTCTATTAAGATTTGAATATATAAATCCCTTTAGAACAAGTAGCAAACCATTAAACCAACTCTAATGTTATCTTGTGTTATTTAAGCAAAATTATATTTAAGACCAATGGAGAAGGTCACTTTGATTTCCCTGACTTAGAAACAAAGGGGGCAGTCTTGTCTTCCCGTCCACTCCCCAGTCCAAAATTCTACCCCCAAACTGCTAAGAGTGTCGGCTGCTCCCCCACTCCTTCTTGGCTGGTCTCTACCCCCCTGTGGTGTCTGGTTGCCCTAGTGACTGCTTGGACCTTTGCTGTCCTCCAGCACCACAATCCTGGTTCCCTGGCAGGTGCCAGGTCGTGGTCTTTTCTGGGCTCCAGATCCTCACGTGGGCACTGCAGGGGGTGCTGACCACACCATGTTGCATGGAGGAGAGGGTTACTGGATAGCCTGGTGGAACCCAGGAAGTCCAAAGGAGGGTAACACTCCAGGGAGGGGATGGGAGTGGGAGATTAACAGAAGCAGGAAGGAAAGAATCATGCTATCACTAGGACTTGTGGGGAATGGATATGTTTATTTAAGGGACTGACAAGGTCAAGAATCTCAGAATCCACAGATTGTAACAGACAGGGAATTAGAGCAAATGGCATCAGGAAATTTCCTCAGGGAGATGCCCGGGGGCTGTGGCTGTGGCTAGGAGAAGAGATCAGAATGTCCTGGTAGACTGCAGTGACCAGGGAGAGGAAGCTGTTCCTGGATGAGATGATGGGTGGCAAGGGGAACAGGCCCCTCTCAGGGGTTGTGGCATGCTATTCCTGCCCCGAACACATCTGCTTCCCATTCCAGAAAACAGCAGGCCAGGGCTATGATTCGGGATTTTGAGGTGGAGTACTGACCTCTGCCCAGGGCATTGGATCTGTAGCCAGCGGGTGTGTGTGTGAAGAATCAGATCTTGTGCTGGCAGCAAATGGGGACACAGCAGCTGGACTGGGAGCAGCCACAGGAGCCACAGGAGCCACAGCCCCCCTTGGAGACCCCACAGGAGCCACAGCTCCCCTTGGAGACCCCACAGGGGCCACAGCTGGAGCAGGTGCAGGCGGGCACACAGCAGCAGATGGGCACACAGCAGCCGGAGCCACGGCCCCCACAGCCGGAGCCGCAGCCCCCCTTGGAGCCTCCACAGGAGCCACAGCCCCCCTTGGAGCCCCCACAGGAGCCACAGCCCCCCTTGGAGACCCCACAGGAGCCACAGCTGGAGCAGGTGCAGGCGGGCACACAGCAGCAGACGGGCACACAGCAGCCGGAGCCACGGCCCCCACAGCCGGAGCCGCAGCCCCCCTTGGAGCCTCCACAGGAGCCACAGCCCCCCTTGGAGCCCCCACAGGAGCCACAGCCCCCCTTGGAGCCCCCACAGGAGCCACAGCCCCCCTTGGAAACCCCACAGGAGCCACAGCCCCCCTTGGAGACCCCACAGGAGCCACAGCTCCCCTTAGAGACCCCACAGGAGCCACAGCCCCCCTTGGAGACCCCACAGGAGCCACAGCCCCCCTTGGAGACCCCACAGGAGCCACAGCTGGAGCAGGTGCAGGCTGGCACACAGCAGCAGACGGGCACACAGCAGCCGGAACCACAGCCCCCACAGCCGGAGCCGCAGCCTCCGGAACAGCCACAGCTGCTCATGATTCTGGTGGGTTGAGGGTGGAGCAGGTCAGAGGAGCAGGTGCGGAGGACAGGTGTTCAGGTGTGGAGCCTCCTGGGCCGGGAGCCCTTTATGCACCTGAGCATATGTTCACTTCCTTATGCTTGTTTATGCTATGTTCTCAGGGAAATTCTGTTGGCCATATACTAAAAATAGATATTACAAACTTCATAATTGTGTCACACTTTTTTGCATTTTTGCTCTGTTTGCGATTTCCTTCTGTCACCCCTGAGTCAGCTGCAGTGACTGAAGCTCTATATTCAGGATCTGGCTGAATCCCGATTTCAGCATGGCACTCTTGGACTCAGCATGCCCCGTGTCCCATGGTTTCCCTACCTTGGTTCCCCATGAGCAGGAAGATGATCTAAGCATCGCACTCCTTCTTGTAGAGAATTTCCACCCATCTGCCAGGTTTTAGTCACACCTGCACCCTGTGCCCAGCCTCAGAGGTCCCCGTGACCAAGTCCCCATGTGCCTTTGGTTCCGGTGGTGATCCTTCCTGTCCGCTTGCTCTGGGTTCTCCCAGCAGAGCGTGTGCCCCAGCTTCTTCTTCACCTTAAGTCAGCGAATGCACATCACTCTGCTCTCCAGTTTCCAACACGCCGTGACTGCTGTGTTTTCTTTCCTTCTCTTAACTGGGGAGTTCTGTCTACTCAACTCATTGTTTTATTCAGAAGGCGTTCAGAAGGGAACGTACGTGGATGTTATTCTGTCCCCCATGACTGAATGTCAACCACCACTGATCCCCCCCCCCCCCACCACACACACACAAACTTGAGGATCGGTTGGTTTAGTTGCAAAAAGGAATCCTGTTGGGGCTTTTATTTGGATTGAAGTAAATGCATAGATTAATTTAGAAATAATTGATACCTGTTTGCTGGAATCTTCCTACACAAGAAGGTCATAGTAAGCATTTACTTATGTTCAAATCTTACTTCCCTCATAGAGGGTTTTTTCCTCTCACTGTTATTGGGATAGAATTTATGTACAATAAAATGCACCCATTCATAGCATCACTTTGGTAAGTTTTAACCAAACTGTACACCTGTGTCACCACAAAACAAATGAGATGTGGGACATTGCCATCAGCCTGGAACATTCCCTGGTGTCCCCTTCAGCTCAGTGCCCACCACCCCTGCTGGCCAGGAAACCCTGACCTGCTTTCTGCCCCCACAGGTGAGACTTTTCTTCTGCAGAGTCTCATGTAAATGGAATCATAGGCATTTCTCTTTCGTGTGTGTCTTCTTTCACTTGGAAACTCTCTGAGGTTCCCCCGCACTGTTTCCCCACAACTCCCAGCCACCGCAACATCTCCAAACACCATTTCTGCCTCCACAACTCAGCGAGTACCCCCTACTCTGGTGACACCCTCTCTGCACCTGCAGCTGGAAGTTGCCTCCAGGCAGAGAGCAGTGATGTGGGGCCCCTCACCAGTTCCCTTTGCTTCCTGTCGCTCCATGTCTGAACACATTTATTTCAGTTATTTTAAAACAACTTTTTGTACAAATCAGTGACGTTCATTAAATTGACAAAGTTGTTGACTGTTCCCATAATTCAATTTGGGGACATTCTCTTCACCCCAGGAAGATCCCTTACACTTGTTTAGTTGGTTCCTATACGTACCGCCTGCCCAGGAAGGCAGTAAACTCCCTGTGGAACCACCTTCTCTGGACGTTTTATGGAAGCTGGATCATATATGGTCTCTGTGTCTGGCTCCTTCCACTGAGCATGACGGATTTGAGATGTACCCCTGTTGCTGCAATCCCCAAACCCCATTGGTTTTTATTGCTGAAGGGTATTCCTTTGTGTGGATGTGACACATTTTGTTTATCCATCACTGGTTAGTGAACATTTGTGTTGTTTACACTTTTTGGCTATTTGGTTAGTGAACATTCTTTGTGTGGTCGTATGTTTTCATTTCTTTTGGGTAGGTACCTAGGGAATGGATGGGTCTCATGGTAAATGTATGTTTGACTTTCTAAGAATTCACAAAAATCGTTTTCCACGTCAGCAATCCCATGTGACATTCCCCCCAGCAAGGCACAGGGCTGGCATTTCTCCGTGTCCTCGCTGGCACCTGTCTTCCTGTCTTCCGGAGGACAGCCACTCTAATGGGTAAAAGACAGTATCTTGCTTTAATTTTCACTTCTGAAATGACCAGTGATGTCGAGCCTCCTTTCTGGGGCATTATCCATTAATGTGTCCTCTCTGGGAAAATATCTGTGTAAATATTTTGTCCATTCTAAATTGGGTTGTTTGTATTCTTAGGATTGAGATGAAGCCTTCTTTGTTTGTCTGGATATTCCTTTGGGAGCTTCCTGTTCTCTGTTCTCTGTTTCCCTTTGGGACTCTGATTACACATGTATCAGACCATCTCACCTAATTTTTTTTTTAGTGTATCTTGTCTCTTTCTGTGTGCTGCATTCTGGGCTGTCTGCATATGTGTCTTCCAGGTTACCAAATCTGGATTTATTTGGGTCTAGACAGCTCTTTAATCTGTACTCTAACACTTTAAGAATCAATTCCTCTTTAAAGAAATCTGTCCTGGGCCAGTCAGAATGGTCAGTCATGCTACGGTCACCCACGACTCCAGCCTCTGATAACGATTAGCAAGAGGCTATCTCTCGTTCATGTTACACATCCACGGGGGGCTGGCCATTTGCCTTTTTTTGGTAGCAAACATTATGTTTTTGATAGTTGTCTTGTCTTTAGATGCACATTTTCCTTTTTTCTTCTGTAATATAATTTCCCCTGTGTGTGTGAGACCCAGCAGAGGTCCCACTCTCATTCAGATAAAGGATGGCACAAGAGACCATTGTTCTCATCAATTAAAATGACTCAAACTACAAAAGCAGATATTGTTGTGAAACCCACCAGAGAGTCAGGGACACAAAGAAATAAAAACTCCCCAAACTCCAGGGGAGAAGAGCCCCATGGCAGCTCTCATGCCTGTCGGGTGGACAGAGGCCAGAGAGACCAGCAGACCAGCTGAGAAATTCTCAAGAGGTGCACGGGGTCTGGTGGAAAAGGCTAGTATCCTGCAGTGCCCCCAGATTCAGAGCCTCAACCACCTGCCCACTCTTCCCATGGATCTTCTTCGAGCGCTTAGGAGTAGGAGGGCCAGGAACAAAATCTGAGGAAGATCCCTCATGAGGGGTGTGGGGCTTCACCATGTACAGGGCAGCCAGAAAACAGCTGGGAGTGGAGGGAGAGCCCCCTGAGCATCTCTAGTCCCTTAGGAAGAAAGCTGGGGCACCCCACACCCAGTAGGACAACTGCTATCCAAGAAACAGAAAGTGACATGTGCGAGAGAGGATGTGGAGACATTGGAACGCCATGCCCTGTCTGTGGGAACATACGTTGGTGCAGCCTCTATGGAACACAGGTGGGGGCTCCTCAAAAAGTTACAAATAGAATTCCTGTAGGCCCCAGCAGTCCCACTTCTGGCTATATCCCCGGAAGAATTGAAAGCAGGGTCTCAAAGAGACATTTGTGAACCCCTTGTTCACGGCAGCTAATGGGCGGACAGAACCCAGGTGTCCATCCACGGATGAGAGGATGAGCAGATTGTGGTCCACCTGCACTGGACTGTCACTCAGCCATAAAAAGGAAGGAAATCCTGACACCTGCTACAACTTGGATGAAACTTGGGGATGTGATGCTGAATGAATATAGGCCAGACACTAAGGACACAAATTGGGTGATCCATTCATATGAGATCCATTGAAGAGTCACATTCATAGAGACAGAGAGTGGACGGTGGGCTCTGGGGGAGGGATGGGGGTTGGTGTCTCATGGGGACATTCTCAGTTTTGCAAAATGAAGAGTTCTGGAGATGGATGGTAGTGATGGATGCACACAATGTGAATGCCACTGAATGTACACTTAAAAATGGTTAAGATGTGGGGGGAGCCTGGGTGGCTCAGTTAAGTATCTGCTTTTGGCTCAGGTCATGATCTCAGGGTCCTGGGATCGAGCCCCTGTGTCAGGCTCCCTGCTTAGCGGGGAGTCTGCTTCTCCCTCTCCCTCCTCCACCCCCCTGCGTGTGCTCTTTTGCGCGCTCTCTCTCTGTCAAATAAATAAATAAATAAATAAATAAATAAATAAATAAATAAGTAAGTAAGTAAGTAAGTAAAATAAAATCTTTTAAAAAATGATTAAGATGGTAAATTCTGTTATGTGTATTTTACTATAATAAAAAATTTGGAAAAAAGGATTGGAAAACTAAGACAAGGGAGAAGAGCTAGGAGAAGCCCCTGAGCCTTTCAGGCTTGGGACCAAGAGAGAGATCCCATCCTTGTATGCAGGGAGCAGGGACAGCACAGGACAGGAAGGGAAACTCCTCCAGGAACCCACAACCTGGCAGAGGGGGCTAGGACAGGGCCTTGGGGGGCATGGACACTGGAGAACAATGAACCCCAAGAAGAGCAGAAGCAGGACCTGTCATGGGGTCACAGACAAGAGAGAAGCTCCAGGGAAGCCTGGTGACCCGGGAGCCTGAGAAAATCTCAGATTCCCAAATGATGGACAAGGGGCAGAGAACTTTCTCTGGAGCTTCTGCTTCCAGACATAGTGCAGAACATAGCTTTTGATCATGCTTGATTTGGATCATGAACCAGGAGAGCCCAAGTTTTATAAATGTCCCCACAAAACAAAGACCACTAAAAAACTCTGTAATAAGTCTTTCTGGAATAGTGAGAGAAGCCCAGGTAGGACACAAAGGGTGGTAGGCAGGAGCAGACCAATCTTGCCTCGTTCCCAAAGGATCACTGGAGAAGAGAGGACTCCAACCTTGAAGGTTTAGAGGGGAAACACTGTGTAAGGAGGAAGTGTGTCACAGGCGTGAAACAATATTTATGTTATTTTAAAATGACATACGATTTCCCTGGGGAGAGAACATGAATAGAAACAAGGAAGTGACCATGTGCCCAGCATCACACCTGACCCTGGCAGGTGTATAAAGGGCTCCCGGCCCAGGAGGCTCCACACCTGAACAC